GTCAATTGCCACTCATGCAATCAGTGCTCCGGTGCTAGATTATGCCTACGGAGAGTTTGCTACGAAGAAAGAGAAGTGCCATATGCAACAAGAGTTTTATGGTGACATTTATAAAAATGTGAGTTTAATTTTTATATTCATTACTACATTATTGTAGGTAATGAAGTACCTATATACTTAGTTATTTCCAATGAGTCTGTGATGATTTTTGCATTCAAAAAATTATTCAAAAACAATTAAGGCATATTATGTAAAATTTTTCTTAACTTGCAGACAAAAGATGACAAAGTGAAGACTTTGAGGGACACATACAAGGATAGTCCTGAAATGAAAACTGCCATCCTGCAGGCCTGCAAGGCCAACATACAGAAGATCTTAGACAAAAATCTGCATGATGGAGAGTATGTATTTTGGGTGTACATTTCACAGTTTTAATAAGTTAAGGTGGCTTTGCTTCGGTTACAGAAACTTTGTACAATTACTTACAATTACTTTGTACAAGTAGTTTGTAAAATTAAAACTAAGTTCTCTAAATATTTGTCTAATATTTCAATACAGACATTATCAAGATATAGAAAACCAAACACAGAAAATATTCAGTAAATAGTTGTTACAGTGGTCTGCATGGTTGTTTTCACAATAAAATAAATGTTTTTGACTCAATAAAAAATTATTACAGACTGTTCCACTCAATCCTGTACGACTACATTCGTGAGTGCAGTGCGGAGGACCGTGTAGAGTTGATCTCGACACTCAGTCCTCTCATAGTGCCCCTCAGTAACTCGCTACCAGGCGCCAACGCGGCATCCATCTGCGTGTGGCAAGGTACCAACAAGGATAAAAAGGTATGAAACATTTGAGACTAAAAGTTTTAAAAATGTTTTTATTTGTGCTGTCACTGATTGGCGTTAGTTTCGCATGAAGCTTTGACTGCCGACAGAAAACCGTTCTAGGCAAATCTTCGGTTAAAGCCGGTCACCGGTGGCTTCGTGTTCATGTTAGAGTTGTGAAAGTGTTGTATTTTATCATGGTAGACGTGATATTGCAGCATTTTACTGGCAAACTTTGTAATCATTTGCTGATGATCAATTAACATCGCAATTGAATCCAAAAAGTTATAACATTCTTTATTATTTTGCAGACTATATTAAAAGTGGTGAAGGAACATGCAGTGGCACTCAGTAAACATAAGACTGGCTACCGTCTACTGATTGCTATATTCGATTCCGTTGACGACACGGTGCTAGTCAAGAAAGCAATCGTATCAACATTAGCTAGTAATTTGAAGGACATCGCTAAAGATCACTGGGGTAATATGGTAAGTTGAATAAGAAGATTATTAAATATGACACATAAAATTAATCTCTTAAGATTCAACAGACATCAATTTGCTGGTTTAACCCATATTACAAACATAAATTTTCATTATAATATTATTATTGACTTCGATTTTTTGTTTAGTGTCTTGTTGGCCAATGACTATTAAAGTGGGCAGAGCCTTTTTTAACCGATTTCAAAAAAGGAGGTTCTAAGAACGTTCGATTATCTAGCGATAGGCGGAATCGATTTGGATGCGGTTTTCAGAAAATTGTTTGTTACACTTAGGAGAAGGTTTTAGTATATAATTTAACGCTTGCTTCATGTGAGTGAGGTTACAGGAGACCTAATTAACCCCCCCCCCCCTTCCCCAATCTCGCCAATCTATGAATCCCCAACAATCCTCGAAACTTCTAATCCCCAAAAGGCCGGTAACGCATTTTTAACGGCTTTGGCGTTCAAGGTCTCAGTGAGCGACGATGATTGCTTATCATCAGGTGATCCGTTCGCTCGTTCACCGGCCCTTCCCATAAATAAAACAGACTTGAGGTTGAGGTCGGTTTTTTTAAACTTAGTTTTACATAGTTAAACATAGTTTTAACATTTTAAACATATTTTTAGTTATAAAAGAATTATTCTTGTAGACAAAAGAATTGTCGATTTCACTTATAAACCCATCTTCGACATAAATTAAGTAAGTACATCTGTTTTTCAGACCCTACACTGGCTAGTGAAACCAAAGGATTCAGGAGCTTTCCATCCTACTTTCATAAAGTTCTTGGAAGAGGGCGCTAAAACCGGCACGTCCAAGAAAGATGCGGACCTTCGTGTGTCTGAACTGAGGGAAGCTGTCCTCCCAGCTTTGAAAAAGCATATGGAAGAAGAACCAGAGTTCTGGCTTAGTAATAAAACTAATATGCTATTGACCGTCGCGGTTTTGTCGATAGGTATGTATTTATCGATGCCTTATTGCTAATTTCTTACTTTAATTAGGTTTCATGAGATTTGATTCTCAGATTATTTCTAACTGAAATAGGGATATCCAATGATCATCATCATATCAGCGCAACGACTTTCCCTACCCAACATAGACCTCCCTACTGATTTTCAGATGAGCCGGTAAATTAAAAAGCTATAAGCGCAACGAATTTAAAAATGTGCGCAACAATTACAGAAGTTGTAAAACTAATTGTGGGGTAACGCACACACTAGTTTGAACACAACACGTAACATCCTTTCAGATCAAAAAACATTAACCCTTCGTTTGTCTACGTGGATATACGCGAGACCATGTATTTTCTATTATGTCTCATATCAGTGCATTCAAATTTCTGATTGCTACAACTTAAATTCGCTGTATAAAATTAATCTTAACCAATGTTATTTTCTTTCAGAGTCAAACAAGGAAATCCTGGAAGCTTTAGCCAAGGTGATATGTAAACCTGACTGGCGCATCACTGCCGATGGCAAGGAGTTGCTGGCAGTGGAAGATGCGGGCATTCACATGTGTCTGAAGAAACTAGCGGCGCTCGACAAAGACAAGGATAGCGACACCCTGGGTGAAGCTATTGCTGAAAACGTAGAAAATGAAACTGTAAGTGTTAATATATAATTATTTTATTAACTACGTTTAAAAACGGTCTTCAACCCACTCATTTTTTAAGTCGGTTAAAAACACAATAATTATTTCACTATTTCTGATGAGATACCATATTAGTTAGTTAATATACTAGAGAATGATCCTACAGCCGACAACTAAGTACGAACTTCCGAGTACGAAAGCTAAGTTATTAAATCTATAACATACTAGCTGCTGCCCGCCGCTTTGCCCGCGCTCCCTCGGTATAAAAAGCACCCTGTGTTATTCCAGACAATAATCTATACCTGTTCAAAATTTCATCCCGATCCCTTCAACCGTTTTTGACTTGATTGGGTAACACAAACTTTCGCATTAATTAATTAATACATAGTATAAAACAAAGTCGCTTTCGCTGTATGTCCGTATATATGCTTAGATCTTTAAAACTACGCAACGGATTTTGATGCGATTTTTTTTAACAGATAGAGTGATTCTTAACGAAGGTTCGTATGTATATACATATTGCACCCGTGCGAAGCCGGTGCGGGTCGCTAGTTAATAATATTAAGTAAGATATAACACATCAACCTAAGACATTCACTGACATATTTCAGTTACTCATGTAACAATAAATGGACGGTCTTTTATTCATTCTATTTACTTTTTCCAGATCAAACTATGGCTCCCAACGAACAGAGGATGTTTCTTCCTTCTAAAATTAATAGAAAGCAACGAAAACGCAGCTAGTGCTCTAAAAAAGAAGATCAAATCTCACGTGAGTATACTGAAACAGCAAACTTCAGAAGGTGCAAAGCATCTTTTACAAACTGTGCAGAAAAAATAAACACATTTAATTCAAATAACTGGTGTTTTTCTTTCTTTTCATTACATCTGTAATAGGAATGGCGACAGGGTATGAAAATTAAAAATCAAATTAGTCAGTCACTTAGGTAATGAAAAAATATTAGACAGTTTTCTTTTATTTTGTCGTTTAAGCAAACAATGCTTAGATAAAACGAATCAAAGTTTAGGAGTGGGCGGTAGCAACGTCATTTTAGAGTATAAATCGTGCTCAAAAGTGACGTCATGTGCTATTTCAAACCTATATCTTCAAAACTATTCGTTTCCGTAAGAAAATAAAAATGCGTGTCTAATGTCTTAAAATAATAATAAACGTTACCCTAACCAGAGACCTTTTTCTTTCTAATGGGAATATTTAAATCATTATTAGCTATAAAATTGTTGTCTAGATGAAGTAAATGTGTATTATTTTGTATTTATTCTTTCATCGGTCGCGAAGTTATTCGAGATTTTGCTGGGGTAACGTTTTTGGTTTTGCTAGATCTTTGAAGTGGTTAAGCGGATTCTTATCATATTTTGTACATGGCTTTTTAGGAATTAGTTTAAATTTGTTCTGCAATAAAAAAACAGAAATAATACATAGCTTAAAGCTTATAAAGTAAGGCTGGTTTTAATGTCGCGCTGACTGACAGCGCTGACAGCGGAGATTGTATAAACTTCTAGGTAGCATATTTGAATGACGCTGAGCTATCAGCGCGCACGGCAAAGAGTATAATAAGTATAGGCCCTAGAAGTTCATATTTCTCGCCTGTCAGCGCCGACGGTCAGCGTGTGGTCCCGACACTAAAACCAGCCTAATTCCTAAAAAGCCATGTACAAAATATGATAAGAATCCGCTTAACCAGTTCAAAGATCTAGCAAAACCAAAAAGTTACCCCAGCAAAATCTCGAATAACTTCGCAACCGATGAAAGAACAAATACAAAATAAGGCACAACATTTACTTCATTTAGACAACTAATTTTACAGCTAGTAATTAATTAAATATTCCCATTAGAAAGAAAAGGGTCTGGTTGGGGTAACGTTACCCCAGCAGGAAAAGTTTTGTAAAATAATTTAAAAACTATAAGCGCAACACAAATTTAAAAATGTGTGCAAGTATTACAGAAGCCGCACAACTAATTATCTAAAAGATTCAAATGATCATTTTCGACATCTGGCCTGGGTAACGCACACATTTTATATTACAGTTAAGAATTAATTGATGTTTGATAAATTGGTCCTTAGCAGCAGTAAAAAACAAATACGAAAAAAAATCTTTTATTTTTTAAAGCATTGATGACAGCACACAATAATACATTGAGTTGATTAAGAACAAAAATAACGTTTATCGAGTTTAACTCTTCAATGGTTTTATTATTCGAGCTATTAGTATTCTAATTTTATTAAAACATTATTTAAACTTGTACTTCTAAACTTAAAATCATATTAGAGACCACTGGGGCAAATTCATCTAAATATTATTGCTACATTACATTCGATATTACAACGGGGCAACTATTTTTACTCACCAGATAGAGCTAATATCATGAAGTCTGTTTGTCCAAAAAATGTTTTACTTACTCTAGTCAAACCGTCAAGTCAAGTCGAATAAAAAATTACATCATTTCCTACACATTATTATGCTGCTGTAAAAAGCGTATTTATTTCTATACATATAAAATGAGCTTGTATCACGCTTGTACCCAGAGCTTCTCTATATTTTTGTCTGACGCAAGATCTACGACATTTAGGGTCTGTTGAAGCATTTCTTCTTGGATGGTATCAATCGATCTGAAAAAAAATGTATATTATGATAAAAATTGGAACTTGTATTCCTTAGGCTGATTTTATAGTCACGCCCCTGGGCATCGCCCGCTTGCAAAGCGGTGCACTGTGAAACGAGAATAGCACTACGCGTTGCGCTGCTGTGAGACAAAAGTGTACAATATAAATGTTGATGCTTCTCAAGGGTGCCTCATTGGCAGAGTGGTCGCAAGTGCGACTGCCGAGCAAAGGGTCTCAGGTTCGATTCCCGAGTCGGGGAAAATATTACTGGGTTTGTAAAAACCTCAGAAGTAGCACGGAGTCTGGATATGTACCCGGTATATGGCAATAGGCTCACCCCCTATTACATGGGACTCATAACATAAATAGTGAAAAGTGGGTGTTACATTGTACAGTGGCATTAACTGCCCTAAGGTGCACCTCTGCCTAACCATTCGGGGATAAAAGGCGTAATGTTATGTATATGCTTCTCAAGGGTGTCACTAAAACGCACATTAACTGTAAAAGTGCAATAGCGACCCGCGTCTCGGCAGCGCCGGCGAACAGTGGGTGTTTTCTAAACGGGGCTGCAAAAGCGTATTTTGAAACGCTTTAGAGAACAGAGAGTATAGCTCCATGATCGGAAAAGGAGGACCCTCCGACCAGGCGAGGTGATCGTGCCTGGCGGGCTTTCTGCCCAACAGTTGTCCGTTGGCATTTCCTATCCGTGTTCATTTGCATGTAAACTTTGCATGTGCGATGTAGGATTTTATGACGTCATCCGGTGACATGTGTCGCCACAACGCAATTACTACTCTCATAGAGTAAACCTATGGAGTTTCTAGCTCGTTCTTCTACATACAAATCTACACTTGGAACGAGCAAATAGCTTCACTAGAGAACTGACCGACAGACTGTAATTTTTTCTTTAACATTTAAATATTTTGTTTTGACGTACAAAAGTGCCTTCTTGGTCTAATTGAAATAAATGATTTTGATTTTGACTTTGACATATATCTCCGAACTGTTAATTGTTTAAACGGAACAAAATCCTAGAGACCGTGGCGGATAGATTCTCATCCCCACTCTGGAGGGCATTTGTGAGAAGAGTTATATAATAATTTAATTTAATAATAATTATGTATTTCTGTCTGGTTGAAATTTTGAATCTATATTGACATTTTCTCTTTAAGTATGACTGATTTTAACTCGTCGAGTACCGTCATTACAGACACGATTATAGAACAAAAGGTTTGTGTTTGACAGTTTAAACTGTCAAAAACCAAGCGGTCACCGGTGACCACGGTACTTGACGAGTTAATGTAATTATGATATTTTATATATATGACTAATATAATAGATATAAATTATGACTAAATTTTGTATGACTGCGATGGTATGGTATTAATGATATATGGTATAGATATTATTTAATTATATGGATCCCTTAGATGTCCAAAATAAATGATTTTTATTTTAATTTATTTATTTATTTAAAACATAACAAGTGTGATTGTCTTTTCAAGTATTCATGCATCATAATGTCGATTTTTTTAATATAATGTATACGTTAGACGTTGCAACGTAGGCCAATTCTGCAACACAGGCAGCATTGTTTAACTACTGGGAATTGTGCTACTGTAATTCCCATCACTAGAACAATGCTTCAATTTACACCCCACACATTACATCTCCACACATAAACTATACCTACATATTATACAACAATACAACAATAATATATTATACAACTACACAACATAACATCACGCCTTTTATCCACGAAGGGGTAGACAGAGATTCACATTATGGCACATAATGCCACTGTACAATGTAACATCCACTTCTCACTATTTATGTTATCTGTCCCATGTAGAGATGGGATTTTACCCGGAAAAAACCCAATTATGGGAAAAAACCGGGAAAAAACCCGGGGAAAATTCCCGAATGGGAAAATATTCGGGTTTTTTCATATTTGACACATTTAACAAATAAGTAATGTGTAGATTATGTACATATCATATAGTACGTACTATTTAAGAACTATTACAACAAGTTAGAGCTAATCTAACTTTGTTTATTGCAGTAATAACGTTCTTAATATCCTTAAGTAGGTCCCTACTATCAAATGAAATAAAATGAAATTAAACAAAAATCCTGTCTGTTTGTGTGTGATCCCCCGCTCTTAGCGACAGGTAACCCGAAAATACGTGAGCGGGTAGAGGGGCAGGGAAGCAGGTAGTAGAGGGGCGAGCGCGTTGGTAATCTATCTATCTCACACGTTGTTTCGGCTTCATACTGTGCGCACTCGTGTTAATTTGTTGGTTTAATTGACGACTTGGATTTGTTTGGTGGACTTTTGGTTACCTAATCCTTTGAATTGACAACAACTGCTACTCTTACGGACTTTGATACCTACTATTTTTACCGAAATTTACCGATAAATTTACAGTTTTGTAACTCTTGTAAAGTATAATAAATAATTGTTAGTAAGAGTATCTCTCGTTGTTTTAATTATATTATTTTAGTCAAACATTCTTTAAAGTTTAATAGGTATTTTTCTGCTGTTAACATTCCATCACAGAGCGCAGTAAAAACTTATTATAAAACAAGAAGACGTCTTTATGGTATTGTAATAAATATGCTGGTTATGTTTTAGTCCTTGAAATAGACTACACATTTTAACGTTTCAAATAACAGGCAACAGCTAGTGCCTTATACACGCTGGTGCTAAGTACTACTCTGTCAAGAAAGTACCGAGAAAAGATCAATAATACAAAAAATGTCTGTTATTCATCCAAATTTATTTTATCACCTTTAAACTGTCACCGGTGACCGCAACCTATTGTTCTTTAATGGTCTGTAATGACGGTACTCAACGAGTTAAAGTATGCTCCTTTAAAGACGATACACTTGCGCCAACGAATAATCTATTCATCAAAACATTTTTTAAACGCTGCTTCCAGAATCGAGTTTAGTTCTCGCCGCGAATTCTCATTTACGTCTTCTATCGATTGAAAACGGGTGCCACGAAGTGGTAATTTGAGTTTAGAAAAAAGAAAAAAGTCAGCAGGAGCCATATCTGGTGAATATGGTGGTTGCTGGATGGTATTTGTTGAGTGTTTGGTCAAAAATTCGTTCACCTTGATGCCACCAATGATAGTCTAGTGCGAAGGCGCTTTCTCGTGGTGCAAAATCCAAGAATTTTCTTTCCACAAATCTGGCCTTTTTCGTAGAATTTGCTCTCTTCAACGCCGCATAAAGCTCAAATAATATTCTTTATTTACCGTTAGACCTTCCGGTAAGAATTCAGAGTGCACAACAGCGCGATAGTCAAAGAAAACAGTCAACATGACTTTGACTTTTGATCGACTTTGGCGTGGTTTTTTCGGTTTCGGTTCAGTTGGAAGGCGCCACTCCGAAGCTTGTTGACTAGTTTGCATGCCAAACTCATAAACCCACGTCTCGTCACCAGTAACAATGCGTTTCATGAATGTTGGGTCCAAACTGACTCGTTCTAGCATATCCTCAGCGACTTTCATGCGATTGAGATTTTGGAGAAAATTTAGATCTTTTGGAACTAGTCGAGCAGCAACATGTTTCATACCCTTTAATGTATAGTATAGATTAGTTAAAATGGTACGGATCGACTCGTGAGATACAGAAAGTTCGGCGGCTATCTCTCTCAGAGTTGAATGGGGATTTTCAGTCACTATTTCCTTCACTTTTGCGATGTTAACTACAGTTGCAGACCAGAGCGAGGCAAATCTTCCATCACATCTCGACCGCTTTTGAACGCTTTGAACCACTCATAAGCACGAGTTTTTGATAAAGTCGATTCACCGTAAGCTTTCTGTAACATTTTTAGTGACTCCGAACACGAAATTCCATTGGCGATGCAAAATTTAAGACAAACTCTTTGATCGATATTTGTGTCCATTATGAAATTCACAATATACATTATATATGATATTTCTGAAACCAGCGCTGTATTTAATATAAATAACAGATGCAACTCAAACTCCGCGCCAAAATGGAAAACAGTTGTGCCAATCTAACAACTACATAAAAACAAAAATTTGAATTTGGAACCATAAACAAATCATCCATTCCCGATACTTTTTTGAGTGAATGTAGGTATATGCGCATTACAAAGTACCTATTTATTGAGTTCTGAAAATAAAAATAGAATAAGATCATTATAAATGAAAATACCCGTCTATTGGGTTTTTTCCCACATAAAAACCGGGTTTTTTCCCAAATGGGAAAAAACCTGGGTTTTTTCCCTTTGGGTTTTTTCCCAGTGCCCATCTCTAGTCCCATGTAATAGGAGGTGAACCTATTGCCATATACCAGGCACAATTTCAAACTCTGTGCTACTGAGAATTTTTTAAAAACCCAGGAATACTTTGCCAACCCGGGACCAAACCCGAGACCCCTTGCCTGGCAGCCGCATTTGGCCAATGAGGCCATCATTTAACTATTTATGTGAAATAACTAACCTGCTAGCATCCACGACTTGCCAGTTATCCTCTTTTAACTTTGTATATATTTCTGACACTTTCCGCTGGAAGTTCAGTACTTCATACCTGCCAGAAAATGAACAAATATTATTACTCATCTTATATACTTATCATTATCAACATCGACATACTTTATTTTCCTTAAACTCGTGTCCTTCAAATGCCATTACCAAATACAGAAATAACTAAAGGACATTTCAATAACATATACAAAAACAACACTACTTGATATTTGAGCAGTCTGAATTTAAATTATTGTAAACACAGATACTGCACATACTGTAGCGTAAATAAAAGATAAAACAGTCATTCTTGTTGTATGACGTCAAAATATGCCATTTAAAAGTATTGTGGTTTCTTTAATTTTTAATATTTATCTAATTTAACTTGTCGAGTACCGGTTTTGTAGACACAATTATAGAACAATAGGTTGCGATCACCGGTGACCGCTTGGTGTTTGACAGTTTAAGTTGCAAACAAAGCATTTTTATTTTAACTAATATGTGATTACATTATATTTCCTTGCTAGCACTATTTTATAAGCATAAAATACTGACTTGCATCTTAGAGTTCAAAAAAGGATATATACGGTCAAATTGAGAACCTCCTCCTTTTTTTTGAAGTCAATTAAAAAGATTTATAGTGCTATATATGTTATTTTTAGGAGTATATCACTTTTAGTTTGGTATAATATTTTATTTTTAACAATATCCCAAATAGATAAGACATTTCATGTCACTGACCTCTCGTTTCCAAATCCATTTCTTTGTTTGATAGAGTCTAAAGGCATCGTGAGAAAGAACACCTTATCTGGCTTGGGTAGACCTACATCTGGGTGCTTGCACCAGTTTAAGTCTAAACCTGAAAATGACAAACACGTTTTATTGACACTCTTAAAAGAATTGTAGTGTTAAACTTCTGTTGCATTTTTTATCATGTGTGTGTCTGAATGAGCTAAATTGAATTCTAGTATAAAGAATCCTTTATATTCATGCTGCCCATGAATATGAGCCTCTAGCATGGCTTGAAACTACTTTTGAAACTGTTGAGTTCCTCGTCAAATACTTAAATGAGTAAGCCGAAAAACATAATAATTAATTATTTCTTGAACTTAAAATTTGAGTGCACTATTCTAAATCTTATAACAAAATATAATGATCATAGTACCTTTAGCAGCTGAGAATGCAACTCCAGAATAACAATATCTATCTACAATTACTGTGACACCAGCCTCAAGTGTCTTTATTATATTTTTAGCCCTCTCCCAACGGTTAGCCGAGAACAACAAATGAATTACTTCATCTGATAACTCATTCTGAAAAATATAAAACTATGTTAATACAATAATTATGATACAAAAATTTCCCAATCTGGAAAGTAGCATTGAGGAGGTCTTTACTCAGCAGGATGACTGACATAAGATAATAAATAAAAGTAATGTAATCAATCAATATATTGGATTATTTAGATACCATATCACTGTCCATTTTACACTTTGATAAATATGGTGATAACTACCTATAATATATCAGTATTATCTTGGAGATATACAATTAGAGGCCTATGAATTTCAGATGATTTACCTTCAGTTGTAAATAATTATTTATTATTTTTCCAACTTCTGTGTCCCTGGCTGGAAAATTTGTGTATTCTGCCTGGATGTTTTTCTTCTTAAGATTTTCCACTACAGGAAAAAGTTGGTATTTTTAGATGATTGTATTATTAGATATCTAGATAAATAAGAGTATGTATAGCCAGAATGAAAAATGTATTAAAATTTATATATATTTTGTTTTATTAACCTTAGCTTTAATGCATTTTATTTTCATATTGTATCATGAAAGTAAAATCCTGTAATACATAATACATTTAAAAGACACTCGGTAAGGTCATGACCAAATAATCGCATTGGTAAACCGGTTTATAGGTAAAACTACATTACAATACTTTTAATAAATAAGTTACACATACCAAGCGTCTTAGCCTGTGTCGACTTCCCAGTTCTGTCGACACCCTCGATAACAATTAGCGCTCCACGTTTCATTTTCAGACTCTACAATATTTTTTCCACCTGTGAACAATACAAACACTTGTAGAACCTGTCGACTGGATGTTGATATGACATGTGATTATATAGCCGGCCGCACTCTGCAGCAAGGTTGTCTAGACTGTCTGTTAGTCTGTTTACGGCTTGATTCACGCAATTTAAGAGCCGCAGTGGCCTGTAGATTTCTATTCCCAATAAACGCATAAACAATAAAGTTAGTAAAGTAAGTAAGTGATTAGCACTAAGAAACTAAAATGAAATAATATTAGGTACGTAAATAAGTACTATACCTACGTTTGAATGTTTTTGACATATAGTAGAGTCATAGACTAATTGGTTTTTGATAGCTCATGTCATGTCATGACCGCTACCGATAAAAACATGTTAAACTTTAAAGCCCATAGACAAAATTCCTAGTAGAGGCCCCCAGCTCTTTGGGGCCCAACGGTACTGAATTCAGTAGGGCCCCCTGTGATAACTACAACTTAATGGCTTGTTATTTACTTGTTATTATTTTATTTCTGCCTTTCCGTTACCCAACCTATGATCTATATCAGCGACTCAATATTCTGACAGATCGCCAGCTATTCATCTTGTACACCGTTCTAAAAATGCACTCTCAGCTACCATTTAATTCGGATTTACTACCACCACACCGGACCACAGGCAGGAGAAGATTTACTACCATCTGCCATATAGAAAGAAAACATTTTAGTTTCACTCAAAACTTCTTTACCTTTTTAGGCCCATACCTATATAACAAAATAAATAAAGAGCTAATTATTCATTATCTCACCAGAAGTAAATGTAAAGAAAGCGTCAGCGACTGGCTAAATAAACTAGACTATGAGGAGACTGAAAAAATTCTTAGACCACTTTCCTAAGCTACAACTGATGCATAATTATCACTCACTACATTCATATCAACACTTCCACCTTATTCACTTACCTATACACACCCACACATAATACACAAAAACTCACTCACTCACATACACACGCACTCACACTACATTGTTACACACCCACAGTAAATACTCACTCATACAATGTTGTCCATTTTCTTTAATTAAGTAAATACTTTATATTGTTCAATGTCTCCGGGGGTTACCCGGGCCTGGTGATCTGTAACACAGGTTATACCTCTAACAGACACCAGTCTCTTAAATGTAACATATTATATAATTTGTATCCGTAGAGTATTTTTGAGAAAATAAAGATTTTTATTATTATTATTATTTCGATAAAACAAATCATTAACGATCATGAGCAAGTGGGTCTCTTATTGCTCAAATCTTTGTTTTGTGAGAAGAGGCCTTTGCTCAGCAGTGGGCACTCAAAGGCTGTTGATGTGTGTGATGTGATCCTGGACATGTACTATTGATTCATTATTTTACAACACATTTCGTAAAAATAGTTTTACAAAAAAATAAAATGTTCAAAACCAAAAATTACTGGTGAACCATTGCAATAAGCAAGGTACAAAAGCGCATACAAACTTTTAGTACATTATCAAAACATCACGCCATGTAATTCTCGAAGAGGTATTTCTCGTCGAGTGGCACGTGCGATGTGTAGTGTTTTATGTGCGTATTTCCATAACATAACATAACATTACTCCTTTTATCCCCGAAGGGGTAGGCAGAGGTGCACATTACGGTACTTAATGCCTATCATATACCTCATAATAAAGTGCGTATATCCATGTTTTTTTTATTAAAATAATGACATCTTTATTTTTTGTTTTTACTTTATGCATTGATAGTACATACTCCTTGGCTTATGGCTAGTTGTTTTGCGGCTTTTGCGGCGGGGTAAAATGAAATAGATTTTACAGTGTATTACAAATGAAGAAGAAGAAGATGTAAGGGTCGGTGTCCTTGTGATTTAGTAGATATAAAGATTATAATGAGGGCCAGAGCCCAGAACAGTCAAAATAGTCACAGTTACTAGACTAGCGGTTAATATATAAACTCTGCTTACCCCTTAAAAAACTAAGATGCGTGATGTTATGGGTACACATGTAGGTCATTGTAAGTAAACCTATTGGATTATGAACATGACTGTCATCAGCACATTTAATCAGACAGAGAAAGCGAACTCGACACAAAAATGAAATATTATTAGTAAAATGTTTGACGATGTCTTCATTTTCGTAATCTCATTACTGAAATCTGCACACTGTTCGACAAAATAAAGTAAAACGACTGGCTGGCTTCAAATGGTAATTGAGAGGAACGGAAAGGACGTTTGGGAGGATTCAAGTAGGATGAGGAAGTAGTGGGGTGATACGGTGAGGGGACAAACCTCACCCTCCCCAGTCCAAACCCTAACCTCTCTGAACACAGGAGGGAGTTCTTGAATCGGAGTTACTAGTATAATGTTTATACCATTTCTTTGAGGTAGTTGTAGGTATATTGTACAACTCGAAATAAATCTACAGATAATTTTATTTTAAAAATTATAACTACAACTGTATATATTACGGAAAATATATTAAGGTTGTGGTTTTATAACTATAAAATCATACAATTTAATCGAAGTATTGATACAGTAATTTGGATTGAATTAACATTTGAGCAGATACCCTTTATAAATGATATAAATCTCAAAAACGTAAAGTACTCTGATAAATGAAAAACGATGTAATTTAGGGAAAAATATATTGGAAATGTTCTGCTTGTGTCTGGCAACCTTCTTATCAAATGTCATTACTGTCATAAGTCATTTTAGAATCAAACTGCGCTTCAGTCTACCGCGTCCAGTTGTACGGTTTCTTTGTTTTTATTTTTCTAAATAAATGTAACAAAACTGTGCAGTAATTTATTTTCGTCATGAAGAAAGGATACAAAGTAACCGATGTAAAAAGGGAGAAGAAAATAGGAGTAGCTGCCGAAAATGTGGAGGAGTTGATCTCGAAATCATGTAAAAAGTTAGGGGTAAGTGGAAATTACTTGTTTATGAATAATTAAAGTGATTGCAACGTTGATACATAGAAGATTTGGTGTTTTTAAGGCTAGTTTAAGTCATGATTAGGTGTGTTTATCGTTAGAATAAATGGGTCAGGGTGAAGCCTTGACCGATATTTCTCTACCTTGACCTAATTCCACGGCTCGGGATTTTCAGTTCAATGTCAGCTGCGCGGATTGCCGGCTCTTCGTCGCGGAGGACGGGACGCAAGTGGATGATGACGACTATTTGGCTACACTGCCTCCACAAACACTCTTTATATTATTGAAAAATACTGAAAATATGGTTACTGGTATGCCTTGATTATTTATTTCAGCTAAATTTCAGTTTAGTAGATATAATCTAGGGAGTAAAGACTGACACTGAGATGCCACTAAGGGCCAATTTTTCAATGCTAAGTTAAATTTTAACTAAGTATTCCTGACTTTGAATATTTGACAAAACTGTCAAATGACAATTTTATTCTACAGTTAAGATTTAACTGATGATTGACAAATCGGCCCTAAACTAATTGAAGGGATTTCATGATTTTTTTAGTCTGTTGCATAATTAGGTATTTACTACTTAGTTTTGTTACCACTGTGTGTTGGGCTCTTAGGGTTACTTGGCCAAGAAAGGAATAGATTATCCGATTTTCCAATGTCAACCTCTAATTCCAATATACTTTATATTATTTATGGATTTAATCACTCACACACACACACTTACTTTGACCAATTAGATTCTAATAAATATTTTATTAATATTCAGTGTGACAATTTTTTTTGATAATTTATTAAACCACATAAAAACTGAAGGTACCTTTAATCACTTTCCAGACTTTGACTACTACTATGAAATGATCCGGTCGCAGAAGAAAGAGTACATTGACACAGGGGCTGCTGCCAAGGAATTCCTCAGCACTAACCTCAAGGAGAAGTTCAAGGTGTTCCAGAAGTACATTGCAGCTGGTGATGATGCTAAGACTATGCTCAGTGAGAGGGAACAGGATCCTGGTTGGTTTGAAGGTGAGAATAACTTTTATAATAATTCGTACCTCCGGTGCTATAACGTCACTTATGTATTGCACAATGAAACATTGTTTCTCCTAGTGCCATCCAGATTAGCACCAAAACCGTAACAACAGTAATGCCCTCACAATGACAGTTTGCATACTACACAAATGACAATAACGCACCAAGTAAAGAAATGAATTTGGAGTATTCTTTCATAATCAGTTTAGATTTGACAAAAATTGCATAAGTGACGATATTGCACCATAGGTGTGATATGATGGATTCTGATACACAGATGATACACGGTACAGTTTTGTTTATAGATAGATATGTTTATTACATATGTCACCAGTTATGTTAGATACACATAAGGACTGTACATTATAATACTCAAGATTGTAACCACTGCACTAAAAAGGCAGTGTAATCTGTCTAATCTCTTGAATTTTCTGAGAGCTCAAATTGTAACATAAATTAATTAAATTTTCACACATTTTAAGGATTAGAGCCATCAGAGAAAACTAAAGAGCAGTCGATGGCGAAACGCGTTAAAGAAAGGATGCGGGGTTACTATTACAAGACCAAGACAGCTCTTCAGTCATCTGACATCTACATACATTCGAGAAATGGACGAGGTAAGAAACTCATTGACCAGTTCCTAACTGATCTGCGCAACATACTTGACTCCCACAAGTACAATGAGACATACTTCAACCGCAAAGCCAATAAAACCGCTCGTATATGCGACGAACGAGGTGTCTTCCAATGTGGTGGCCTCTGGAGTGCGGACAAGTGTCTCTACGAAGGCGAACACGTCATCAACCCATACCGGAGCCGAGAAGAACGCATCATATTCCAAACCTGGAATCTTGACCATAAGATTGAGCTCTCACGATCTATAATCCCGAAAATTTTACAAGCAATTGATGGGTTGTATAGTGGTGATATTAAGTGTATGCTATGTGATAAAGGTTCTAAAGTGGGTGGGATCGAAGCTGATAGGTATTTCCTGCAAATATTCACGCGGGAGAATCTCAAGCTGGTCCACATCGTATGCCACTATAAGGGGAAGCATGATGCAGAGTCTGGTGTGTACACACTCTGTAAGAAATGCTATGGAGGCCAAAGCATTGATTATAATTAAATACCAAATTATTAATTCTGAATTTTCGGGTTTTAGCAATTTTTGTAGAATGGCAACACTGGTTTGTTGGTTTCAAGGATATTGAATCTGGATTTGATTTATCATCATAATTATTATTGTATACTTTCCATTGAGTTAACATGTTATTTTTTATTTTTAACGAGTTTATTGCAATCAGAATTAAACTTTTAGGGTATAAAACATTAATTTAAGACATGCTTCCATGATTCCACATGCATTATAGCCAAATGGACAATGGGCTAAGAACTTAAATATTTATTTCTTAAAAACCTTATAGAAAATCATGAATTGAATATGTAATTATTATAGAAATATATTTAGCATTGAAACGGCTATGTTCACTAGATTTCATGTAGTCTTTGTATAAATTGTTGTTCCTTTTATAAACAATTTAAAACTTTTTATTGTTAATATTTGCCCAGAGTAGGCGTTTCTATTCCTTCAATTGATCTCCTTGCCCTTCATGACATATTATAAGTGTTATACACCTTTAATAAAATCATTATTGAATTTATTTTTAACCAAATAATGTACGTAATTTTCAATGAATTGTGAGATCTCAGCCACGATAAAATGTTGATGGTAATAATTATTTATTAGCCTTATGGGTTTTGCATACAGTATAGGTTTTTTAAAAGTTTATAAGAGCTTAAGGTGTATGAAACATTCTGTAGTTTTAATTTTACTTGGTTTAATAAATTTATTGTTTAGCAATTGATTAAGTACTATTTTTGGTTTTATCTAAATTAAGATTATTTTTTATATATTATATTACATTATGTTTTACACATCTTGTAAAAGCAAGGTTATTTTTTTTAACTATGTTATACAGTTATTTTTTATTTAAATTATTTTTCTACTGGATTATTGACATAGAACCTCATTATAAATACAGGGTTGTTAGATAGCCATAAACAATATTTTGTGAAAAGAAATAAAATACAGATGCGTCCCTTTGTGACACGATAATAAAAAAATTAAAACTAAATCTTTGGCTTGAACATAAATAAAATTGAAACTATAAAAAACAAAGCATTTAAACATTCTTCTTGATTAGTTTTTCGCGGCATATTTCTTTAACTTTGCCGTAACGTCACTTAATGACGTATGCGGGGGTTGCTGTCTCTAAAAATGTAAACTCCCCATATCTTAATGGGGTTGGTTTGAAAAGGGATTTATTTAAATGTTATCTAAGAAAGCTAAAATATTGTTTATATAAGGCAAAGCAAAATTCGTTTTTAAAACGGCTAATGTTATCTAGATCAGTTTCCTTTTGTGGGGTCCAGTTTAGGACAGAAATGTGATCTGTCAGAATTAACTGGTCTAGAATGAAGTTGTCTGTTGCAACCGACAGATGGTGCTAAAAGAGAATTGACCGTTGCTTTGTCGGTAGCCAAATTATTAAAAAAAAATATTGTTTGTTATTGACTGATTCGGTACATGGTACCATACTATCGAATTTTTTAGAGCATTTTTGTATGTATTGCTTCAATTAATTATTATTGCTTAAAAATTGTTGATGATTTTTTTGTATTATTTTGGATTCCAATATAATTGTAATCTTAGATAGGATTTATGAAATGGGATGAGGGATCTTTCCACTGTGTTATAGCAGAACAGATGGGTAAGAAAGATTTTCTCTTGATCAATGCTACACGAAATTGAACTTAATAGTTCACTTGGGAAGTACGTTATTCCCTCGTATCGTAGAACAATTTTAGCTTTGTATATCAGTTCAAAAGTCAGTGGAAAGGTCTCTCAAGGTTGTGTAAAGAGTACTGTGTCGAATTTTCTTGATAATTTATTGTAATTACTGTCTTCTTTATTATTGAGACAGCTCTTTATCTTTCCTATTCTATCTTAAGCTAAATATTTTTCCATTATTCTACTCTATGCTAAAGTCAACTACACAATCGTCGAAGTATTGTTTGATTATTGTGTAGCGACATGTTTAATGAATAAGTATAATAATTATATCAGAAATCCTATTTTGTGACAATCGTTTACCAACTTGTTTAGGTAGATATTAGTGTATAGCGATGAATAGCAATATTAATGTGTAAGAAGTAGTGTCGTATTGATTTGAGATGGGTAATGAACAAATAATGTCCCGAAATTAATTTTAATTACAAGAAAACAAAGGCATTGTTTTATGTGGATGTTTCTAATATACATATTGAAATGTAAAAATTAGAATGCCTCGTGGGCAACGTTGCAAGTGCGACTGCCGGGCAAGGAGTCTCGGGTTCGATTCCTCGGTCGGGCAAAGTGTTACCTGTTTTTTTTTTAAACTCAATAGTAATAATAGGAGTCTGGAATTGTGTCCGGTATATGGCAATAGGCTCACCTCCCATTACAAGGGACACGTAACATAAATAGTGAAAAGTGGGTGTTATATTGTACAGTGGCATTAAGTGCCGTAATGTGCACTTTGCCTACTCCTTTGGGGATAAAATGTTATGTTATGTAAAAATTAGACTCCTACTGCAAAAAACAATAACTGCGAAGAATTAATAGCTATATTTTCCTTTTTTTATGCCAAAGTACGTTAGCCATCTTCAAGTCAATGTGGTGTAGTGTAGAAAAAAATATTACAATTAGTAATAGTGTAAAGCTTACTTCATACAGCTTATACAAACATAGTCATTGGTTGTGACGCAAGATTTTTAGAATAACTTAAGAGTTCCCGAGTAGCCTTATTGCTGCTAGGGAGCCCAAGGCGCTTCAATTTAAGAGCTTTAATATACATATACAGCCTTCATACTCTTGTCGTTGCAACCATTAAAATATCAACCGGAATGGGAACCAAGTTGTATCTGAAGAAAATGTTAAAGGAACTTAAAATGTATTGTATAATACTCAACTGTAGAACTCTATATTTATGGCAATAAGGGATTATTTTGACTAGGTGGCGCTAGTGATTTCAGTTCAGTCGCTATGGCCAGTAAAATTTGTAATCTTGGTGTATCTTTATCAAAGAGTTGGTTTTCCGTATGCTACACCAGCGCCTCTAGTGATGCGAAAACCTTCACTGCCCTATTCAATTTTTTAATCGAATTTCAACTTAATACTATTGTAATAAAGTAGAAAATCCATTGACAGAGACCTATGATCCAAATAAAGGCGAATTTTGTATGAAGTGAACATTTACACTAGTAGAAGCTTCCATATATTAGCTTAATATATTAGATTGTTGTTTGCGTAGCATAGCGTTGTGTAGGATTCTTGATATACAGTATTAATTGATATACCTTCTCCTTTGCCTAAGTAGTGTAATGTAGCGTTGTAAGAAAAATATCATTATATTTAAATACATAGCACACTGGTACAAAACATGTAGGTATACTGCACATGTTGATATTAGAACCTGTCATAGATTTATTATCTTTGTTTTTGTTGCCCTTTATGGGTATTAAATAGGATTGATTATATGTATTATGTAGCAAAATATATTTGTTTAGAATTGATTCAGTGTTGTTTGTACAGAAAAATAGAGTTTTAGACCTACATTAGAAAATTCCATAATTTTGTTTTAATAATGTAGACCAGGGGGCTTACTCTTGAATCCAATTCCGATCGATCGACATTGGTATTGTGAAATTTCGTACTCTTGAGTTACAACACTAGCGCCAATTGCATTCGTATAGCGCGGATATTGAATAAACTAAATGGTATTGAGTTTGACTTTATATTCCGTACTCTGAATGCTATTTTAACAGCTACGATAGGAATTATATAGTGTTGACATTGAATAATTATTGAGATTTTATTGGATTTCAATTGCATTGACATTGAGATTGGTTTCAAGAGTAAGCACCCAGGGCTGTCCAAACAAAGGCCCGCGGGCCGCATGCGGCCCGGCTTGTTTTCATGTGGCCCACGACACACATTTTAATCTCAACAGTGTATGGATTTGTATGCAAGTTGGGTCTATGAGTAAATCATTTAAAAATTCCCACTTTCCACCAGCTTTTGGCAAGAAATTTAACTAGCCCGCGAGGGTCTATAGTTTGGACAGCCCTGATGTAGACTAAAATAAATTAAGTGAATAGCACTACAGAATGCATAAATACACTAGTGTAAACTCACATAAAAGCTATAACTGTCTGTCCATTACCAAAAATGAATGTTCTTTGGGTGAATTTTCGCCACTACATACGTAACAAAACCAAGTAGTTTTTGTAAGTATAATCTTTTATGTTTGTTTATAGCATTTACATGTGCAGTTGTAGTCAAAGTTTGTAAGTAGATTGTCTATAAACCTGTAAACTACATAGTATCTGAAATGAGTTGTAAAAAAATACTAGTCTATGAATTTTGTTGAAAGAAATAAAATCATGTAAAAAAGTTTGCATCTCTTTTATTAAATACAATTCAACACCTCATCATTATTGTAATAAAAATAATTTTACACGAAAAGGCGGGAACACGCATGTTCACTGTATCTTGTGTCTATATACATTTTAAGTTAGAAAATTAGTCTAATCAAAGTGTTTTATAAACGAACCTGTTTGGACAATAAGTAAGAAATAATAAACATAGACAAATATGCTTTTCCACAAAATTACAATATGGAAATTATTTTACAGTTAACACAAGATAGCTTTATGCTTAATGAGCTCTTAAAAATAAAAGTCTATATGGTCTGTCACAAGTTTTTAAACATGGAACACTTATCTTCTCTTCCGGCCTCCTGCTTTTTTAGCTGGATTCCTCTGTCCTTTACCTGCCTTAGGTTTCTTTGCTGTAAAGTTTGTAGGATTACCACCCTTGGTCTTTGCTTTGAAGTTTCGTTTTCCTTTAGCTGGTTTCGTGTTTTTCTTTTCCTCTGAACGACTGTAAATAAATTATTATTATTAGTCTTAACATTTTTTATTTAATGCGAGCACTGTAAATTGTCCTGATACTGATTTAACTCATTGAGTACCGTCATTATAGACACAATTAAAGAACAATAGGTTGCGGTTACCGGTGACCGCGCAGTGTTTGACAGTTTAAAATCATTGTGACCAGTGTCACAATGATTTTAAGCAGCGATAGTAGGGACAGTAGATTTATTAAAATATAATTCCATTTATTTTTAAACAGTCACAATGTTAGAAAACCAATTAAGTACAGTAACTAACCATAATTTAATTATATCTTTATGTTTCAGTGAGTATCATTCCTAAAGGTGATACATAAGCTGTCATATCTATGACTATGGGACAGTACCAGTAAAAAAAATTATATAACTCACTTCACTTGTTCATCATGGATGTGTTTAGCTACAGCCTTGTCCATGTCAATCTTGGGCCTCTTATTGAGAATGTTATCAAGCATATTCAAATTATTCTCCCTCTCTTGTGCAGGTGTGGGTATAGGCAGTTTGCGTTTCCTCTCCTTGCCTGGGATGAGTTCATGAATACCTTTGCCTCTAGGCTCTTTTTCTTTAGGCAACTTGTCTTGGAACTTGCCAAGTGATGCTGTGGAGGCCTTTGCTATTGTTGCTGCCGTGTCCAACTGTAAATGAATTAAAATGAAAATATTTAATATTTGCAGCCATTTCATTAAATGCAGATTCTGGTTAGATTGAAAATTGAACCCTTAGCTAGGGGACTAAAATATCGGTGTGCATTACATTACCTTATTGATTTTTTTAAGTAGAATATATACAAATTATTTATCTCACCTGTGATGCAGAAGCTTTGTCAGAAGTAACAGGTAGGCCAACTCTTGGTATCTTGACTTTCCTAGCCCGGGCAATGTTCTTCAGCCTCTGCAACTCATTCTTGGCAACTTTCTCTGATTTCTCCGAAGCTTTCTTCTCAAACATGTCTGTCATGGGATCCAAATTCTGTGGCACTTCAATTAACCAATTCTTCTCCTTCTCTGCAGCAGCTTTCTTGAAACTGTAACAAGAAAAAGAATAATTATTGGTTCTGTATTAGTAATAACTACCACAATTATTAGACTGCTAAATCTATAAAAAGTATTAATAATTAAAAAAAACATGATGTAAGAAACAACATGATTTACTTTTCTGTTTCTGATAATTTTAACTCACCCATACAAAGGTACCCATTTCTGCAGTTGTTCATCCCATTGTAGTTTATCCTTCTTCTTCTTTGTGATACCTTTAGACTTGGCAAACTCTTGCCATTTCGTGAGGGGCTTCGGTTTAGGACAGGGTTTAGCCCTAGGCAGCACTGTCTTAGGTTCAGGCAACTTAACCACTATTGCCTCATCCACCCGCTCTGTAGGAAGTTCCCATATTTTGTTTAGTAGTAACTGTGTGTTGTCACGCGTCAATGATTGCAAGTAATCATCTTTATTTGACCTGAAAAATAACGTGGTTTAATATGAAATGTGTTCATATTTTTTTTTACGCAATTCAACAAATGTGTTATGTGCAGCCTACGTATCTTAAGTATTACGTGTTCGTAATTTTGACGAAAATTAACTAACTTTGACGAGTTTAAATAAGAAAAATAACTTACTGTAATAATTTTGTATCCAAATCATTTGTGTCCGAAGCTAATAAAGTGCCTATATCAAGTTCTACTTCCAAATGTTTTTCTACAGTAATAGGTTTGTACTTCTCAGATTTCTTTTGTTCTTTTTCTAATATCTCATTAACAATATCCATTTTAATTATTTAAAAATAACACACTTCAACACATGAGTAACCTCAAACTTATTTTGACGTTTGTATTTCATTCACTGGTGCAATCCACGTGCGATGAGAATGTAATCTTTAGAATCTTGTCTTTGAAGACAAAAAATATTCGAGAAGTTATAACAATTTTCGACCATAAAACTTCTTAAGTATATACACGGTATATACCTTGGAGATTTTATTTATAAATTCTATTTACTATTGAATAATCCATTTACAAATACGAAACTTGATTTCAGTTGTCTTTTTAAATTAGGTATAAATCAGCGAATTTTATACGGTTTGATTTCTTCTCTTATGAGTTTATTAAATAAAGTATATGAAGTTTTATAAAGTTTATTATAAATAACTATTAATAAAGATAAGGACTAATCGCTTGACCGTGTATTCATAACATTAAGCAATGTGTGTCTATGGATGACGTCAAAATGACAAATTGTTTTGGATTTTTGGCACTGGCAATCTCAGTCACCTGTCACTGTCAGTTCGATTCGATATCATCAAACTTCAAAGTCCTCGAAAATTGATGAAAATATTATTCTTTGATAATATCGCTTTTCCTACTTTTTTCTGTATCAAATAACGTAATTTGCGTATGAAAATAAAATCTGAGAGGAAAGAAGTAGCACGAGCCATCATGACTGGTGATTCCGAAAAAACTTACTGTTTCAAAACAGAAAATAAATTTCTCGTCAAAAGTGGTTGTAAAAAACGTATGTGGCGATCGCTGAAACAAATATTAACGGCTGACAGGACACTCCCGTGGCACAACGATGCTGTTTTATGTAAGAATGGCTTTTATCATTAAAAAAAGCTCTAATTCTACAAAGTCCAAGTCTGTATTCCCTGGAGGGTATAACCTGTGTATTTACGGCCCGAGTGAATAGGTTGCTTATGCGTCGACGTGCTCCGTCGTAGACCGCATCATCGCTTACCACCACGCGAGATACGTCAAACGTCGGCCCATCTAATATATTTATATAAAAAAATATGTCAATTAGGTAAATACATTCTTATTGTTACAGATTACTCCATCAACGCTCCACCTACATTTAAACCGACCAAGAAATATTCAGATATATCTGGGCTCCCTGCTCCATATATGGACCGTCATTCTAAGCTATTCTACAGCAATGCGGAAGAATTTGCAACGGTCAGGAGTTTACCAATGGATATTACAGCCGGATATTTACAACTGAGAGGGGCTAATACCATTGTAGGATGAACATTCTGAAACATTCTTCAGAGTTTACATTTTACCAATCAGGTTTTAAACCAATGAGCTATGTCCAAACATGTGATACGGCTTGTAAAGTACTACATCAGTCTGTCTGATCCATTGGTATTGAAAATATAGAGAAATTAATTGATTTATTTGATTGTTTAATTTATTAAATATTATATTGTCAGATACTTTGATGAATGTAATGAATTAAGAATAGACATTCCACACTATGTTGTAATTTGTTTAACATTTGGGTGCAGATGTAATTTTATGTGCAATATACTATATTATACATGACGTAATATATATTCTCATTTGATGGCACTATAACAGTTTTCACTTAATAGAAAAAAACAAAAAAATATTTTTATAATAAAGCAAAATTGCATTTCATTATAGTTACAAAGAATCAAAATAAAGTAACTAAATAAAAAAAGATAAACTAAATAATGAATACCTTGGGCTAAAATAAATGAAAACTAACATATTTACAAATATATATAAAAAAAAACAATATTTTGTTATAGCTAAATTATTAAAACATATTATTTATTTTTAAATTAATAATTATTAAAAATAATCATTTGTCTATGCCTTTACGAATTTTTTGGTTGGTCTATGGTATTTCGGTTCGGTGAATGAGTTCGGTCTTGTCAGTGACAGACGTGACGGCACTGATCGACTGTTACTGGCAGTGTCAAAATAAATCCAACGTGCGTGTATCGCATGGTTTTTCTAAAACTATTTAACAAAGTTTTTCATATTTTTGTGATAAAGTTATTACTTTAAGTTAAAAAATGTCTTCGTCTTTCTTTTTGAAAGGCAAGTCAAGGAAAGTTCAAAAAAGGAAAGGAGAGAAAATCAAGAAAAAGAATCCTAAAAAGCCAAACGCGCCTAACCTAGAAAATGGGCAGGAATCCTCGGACAGTGAATTGGATATACGAAAGTTTTCTGATGCTGAGGAGTCTGAAAGTGATCATGAAACTGCTGAGCAAAAGAAGTTACGTCTAGCTAAGAAGTACTTGGAGGAAATTGAAAAAGAGGAAGCGAAGAGAGCAGAGCTCAAAGAAGTAGATGATGCGGTTGAGAATCGTCTTAAAAAAGACTATTTGGAACAGAAAGGTAAATTAAAGATAGAGATAGCTGACAAGTATATAGAACCAGGTGAAAGTGACCTAAGGCTTATTCGTGCTAAAGAACATCGTCTAACATTGACCTGTGTGTGTATCAGCAGTGACAATAACTACGCCTTCACTGGCAGCAAATGTGGTTCTATTATCAAATGGGGTATCAATGAGAAACGGAAAATGGGCAGTCTAACTTTCAAAACTCATTCCAAGTTTATTAAAGGTATGGTAAAATCTTTGACAATATCAACAGATAGCAAATACTTAGTTTCATCGGATGAGTCTCCGTACGTACAAGTATGGGATCCAAGCACACTTAAGCATATCTACACATTCAAGGGCCACAAAGATGAAGTAACAGGACTAGTGTTTAGGAAAAATACACATGATTTGTATTCAGCTAGTAAAGATAGATCAGTTAAAATCTGGTCATTAGACGAGATGGCTTATGTGGAAACTTTGTTTGGACACCAGTCCCCCATCACATCAATCGATGCACTAACCAGAGAGAGGGCAATAACAGCAGGAGGAAGAGACACCTCAGTTCGGATATGGAAGATTGCTGAGGAGTCACAGTTGATATACAATGGTCCCGTGGGCAGTCTGGATGAAGTAAAGCTATTAGATGAAGAGCATTTTGTATCTGGAAGTGATAATGGTTCATTATGTGTATGGAGTGTGCTTAAAAAGAAACCCCTGTGCACAGTACCAGAAGCTCACGGTTCTGAAAATGAAGTACCAAGGTGGATCACAAGTTTGGCAACTTTACTGAACTCTGATGTGTTTGCATCAGGGTCCTATGATCTTAATATTAGGCTATGGAAAGTATCTGACCAATATAGGAAGGTGACACCTATGTTTAGCGTACAAGTCAGTGGTTTTGTAAATTCTATGCAGTTTACAAGTGACGGTAAACAGTTGTATGTAGCTGTAGGCCAAGAACATAAGGCAGGCCGATGGTTCAAATTAGGAAGTGCCAAAAATGGACTATTAGTTGTTAATTTTACTATTAAGTAAAAATATATTTTATTGAAATAAACAAATTATTTTTATTTTCATGTTTCCACTGTGTATTACTTATTTTATGCAAATATCTCTGTTTTATGCACTATGCAATATGCAATTATCCTTTAGTAATTAAAAGAGAATGTACCTACTTCTGATAGTTTAGTTTCATACAGTATATATAAAGTAATCTTGAATGTAGCTGGATAGGAAGCTAACATCCACTTTGTAAAGAACAATGGGCAAATTCCATACAAAAAACCCAAACCAAAACCTAGCTCATATTGCTGCACATGTCGACCTCATATCCTACATTAATTATTTGTTTAGTTTCGCTGGAGGATCAGAGAAATACCATAATATGGTTTTATTTGACCTATAACGATAGAAGAACTGCCAAATTAGTGGCCAAACCATTATTTACATCCCTACTACTTCAAGTAACTTACAAGATAGGCAGTTCGATATAAAACTGCCACCCATCCAAAAACTGACCTCGGCATGCAAAGCTTAACCTTCGAGATCGACTCGTATGTGTGATATTATTTAGCACCGAGACCTTATCTACCATCCTATATGAGCATCTATAAATAAAAATCTTATAAAATCGCCATACCTACAGACCTCCACACCTTAGACCGAGGCGACTATAATAGAACGTCGTATGCGATACCACTAACATCTGACCATAGGTATATTAGATTAGTAACTATTGTTACATTTAGAAAGCCCTATCCAACGGTATTCAGGGCCGTCTTAGAACGTCTTAGAACCAGTTACAAGCCACGCGGCAGCCAGAAATTGTGAGTCTTTCGGGGCCTTTGGATACGTGTCCCCTTATGTTAAAGACGGTATATCAGTTATGTTACTATTGAGGCGTGGGCCCAGACTCCATAAATTGGTTCGCACTGTCCTTTTCTTTACCCAACTGACAACACATAACACGGAAAAATAATTAGCCAAGTACGTCTAATTTCAAACCTAACAAAACGACATAAACGGTAGGTACTGTTGGTTCAGGGTAAATATTGCCCAATTGCCTTTACCAAGCCCAAACACGGGGTCATTGCTACAAATTCTCGAAGAGTTTCCTCGGCTGTCTTTTGACTTCATCATCAGATCAACTCCATACCTTCATCAAATTGTAGTAGTTTCAAATACCATATCAAAAAATTTGTAAACGCTCTTGCCACCCATACAATTTTGAAAAATTTTCCTCGGTTTCCATGGGATCCCATCATCAGGGGGCTTACTCTTGAATCCAATTCCGATCGATCGACATTGATATTGTGAAATTTCGTACTCTTGAGTTGCAACACTAGCGCCCATTGCATCCGTAATGCGTGGATGTTTAATGAACTAAATGGTATTGAGTTCAACTTTATATTCCGTAGGTACTCTGAATGTTACCTATTTTAACAGTTACGATAGGGGTTGTATATTTTTGACTCGTTTCATGGCCGTAATATAATGGGCTACTTCGATGAGCGAGCGACAAGTCATCGCGAATCGCCGGCTGCATTATTATTATTATTGAAAATGTGCCGATCAGTGTATAAAATAGTATCGGTGAGAATAAAGAGGACGGACTTACAAAAAAGAGCATTTATTTTGTACTTTTAATACAAACTTTTCACATTTTACATTAAACCGGTGTTGTTTTGTATTTGTTGCAGAAAATAACAATTTTTTATTGTTTTAAAAGAATTGTACGACTCCTAATATTCCAATTCTTAATTTATATGAGTAGGTACTTATCAAGAGCTCATTTTGATCAATTTCAATGAAACTCTGTTTTCCCTTCTCGCCACTTCACATTCATGACCGAAAAGACTATCAGTAAATGCTGAATGAAGAGTTTGGGGAATCGGCGATACTTACATTGTTAATATATGTTATTCTGATTAGGTGTTACGGGTTTTTGCATACAGACTGGCACTAGGTGAACATTGTGTATAAAAGTTTTTAGCGTACCTACGGTACGGAGTACGCCTACACGGTACGGAGTACGCCTACACGGTACGGAGTACGCCTACACGGTACGGAGTACGCCTACACGGTACGGAGTACGCCTACACGGTATGGAGTACGCGACGTACTCGTAGGCGTATGCGTACATGATATAGAGGACAATACTATATTCTAGAGTACGGTTGGCAACCCTATCGGTGTGCGATCTTCCTGTAGTACCTAACCAGATCATGTGGACGTTGTTGACGTTTCAAAAGTACCAACCAATTATGGTTTAATTGAAATAAATGCTTTTGAATTTGAGTGGCAACGCTTGAACTCAATTATAACGTCGATGATGAAATGGCAAAAGCAAAGGCTAGCTGTCAGCGCGCGTTTGGTTTCTCTAAGCAGAACACGCCGCACGGTGGGCTGAAAATCTGCTTTCATAAGCTATAAGCATTTTATTTTTCAAGTGTGCAAGTTTTTTTGCCAGATATCGCTTTTATTACTAATAATGTATAAAAATGCGGAGTCGATTCTGGATTTTCAGCCGACCGTGTGCCGTTCCGTTACTGTGCTGTGCCTGTATCATTATCTTCCTATTCTTTTAGCCTGTGGTGCGATTAAGTCTGGCAGTACTTATCAGTGTACAAACATGTTGATCATAATATACATACCTATGTAGACTTAGGTACCTACCTAAGTCTAATTTATACTTTTTATGAAAAGAAACGTATGTGTGAACTGAGGGACCAAACTTTGAACTCTTGCAGATTTTAGTAGGGTAATAAATAAATTTGAAATTCCTTTAATTTACGACAATATAAAGGCGACTACTCGTCGGTACCTACTCTTGTATCAGACAGGACAATATTATGCAATTACGGGTGTTAAAATTAAAGGTGATAAATAAAAACCAAATTTAATCCTAATTAATTTATTTCCGACAAAACCTACTTAAATCCAGTGCTAGACGTCTTCATCTTCGATGATCTTGCCTCAATCTTCCAAGTTATCAAGTGGTACTGTCGAGCATTCCTTCAATATAGCAACGAGTGATCCTAGTGCTAAATAAAAAAAATATATAAGCCGTATCATGTACTTAGATCGCTCGTTAACCGGAGAGGCAGGGAGGGCGTTCCATTTTACCGATAAACCTAGCCGCATGCGAATCTGCAAATCAGCACAGGATACTGCCACAGCAAACAGGCCAGCGTGCAGCACCGGCCTGCCAAACAAACGAGTATATTAGTTCGCAGTCTGCTGGTCTGCCGGCCGCCACCTACGTCACGCGTTTATTCCCTGATTTTGTGACGCAATGACTTCGAAGTCCCCTAGTGAATGTTTTCTGCTAAGTTTGTATCAGTCGATAAGTATTTGGAGACAGCGTTAAGGATTTATGAATTGAATTTACGTTTATATAAGGGCGCGATGTACCTCCCTATGTGCCGAGTGTAAAAAATACTCCCAATCTACGTGTTAAGAAGTCGTATGTTTACCTACTTTATGAGAGTCTCGGTTTGTCAATAAATATAAAAGTTTACTCATAACTTATGTACGGCAACAACAGCAATTCAGCAGTTGTCAGCAAACAGCAAACCCACCCTCCCCGCATACAGCCTCGCTCCCCGCGTACTCCACGCCCTGAGCATACCAACATTTCGATTAATATTATAGAATCAGTTATACAGTTACAATATTTGCAAAAATGCTGTACTTAGAGTAAAAGTCGTAAGTAATAGGCCGCATGCTCTACGGTTGATTATAAACATGTATCTAAAAAGCCATTGCAACCTTTCAGTCACTAATGGAAGTCTTTATGTAGAAAACTGGATTCAAAACATTTTTGTAAAACTTGAGAACACTCGGATAATGACTGAAAATAGTGATCAAAAGGTTCAGGTTGATAAGCAAAGGCCTACTACTTATGATAATAGTGGTTATTGACAATGTTAAAGATAGTACATATAGTATAGATACTAAAGACTCCAGGCATCACCTTCTTACGAGTTATTTACCAAGAATCATGAATGATGATGTCCCACATTAATGCCCAATTTAGCCCAATAATCACTTGTGGTGGGTACAATGATCTTCCAGATATTTTGTTATATTAACCTGAAATAATATCTTAGACCACATTGGCCATAAACCTAGTACTGATTAATAAAAATACAATACTATCATATTACAATATGAAGACTCAAATACAAGTGACTGAATAATTTTACAATTAATTACACATCCCTTAACATAATAATAGGTAAAAAAAAGATACAACAAAAGTATTTCGACATAAATAAGAAATAAACTTAATTCAGTTTATTGTATTTAGTAGTTCATATTCAAAGGTATGCTTTAGAATTGAATGGAAATCTATACAAACAAAAAGTAAAAGTGTGAAAATATCTAAAGATACAATTCTTACATTATGCAGTTAGCCTATGTTAAAGTAAGGGAACTTAAAATATAATTTGTTACGTTGCATGTTTTGCCACTATGTTGATCATAGTTAGGTCTGTGGATGGCTTATGAGTAACTGATGAGTTTTAGTACCTTGGCTGAAGTCTGCTCAGAGACATGTGGCACAGCACTTCAGCTCACAGCTGGTACTCTCAACCTGTAACAACAAGTAGTGTAAATTAGACACTGGAGTTCATGCATGCTAAGCAATTCATAAAATGTTAAGTATTAAGTAATGGTACTTTGATGAGTACATATACACATGTTCTACACACACACAATCATGTAATACATATTAAGTACAGATATACACACACATGTGATTATAAACAATATATAAAAATTGAAAAGTTTGATTGAACACAGTGTGTCACAAGATTAGTTGCATGGTAATCAAGATAAAATAATAAATTCATTAAGCTGATAAGCAGTATTGAACCGTCAAGGTTTCAATAAATGATATCAATATCATATTTTTATAATTTACACATAATGTTAGCCTAGTTAAACAAAATGTTAAAGTTTGGGAGAATAATTTTATAGTTTTATTTCATACTTACTCAGCATTTCAATGCCTAGAGCGTGATCGTGAGCGGGAACGGCTGCGGGAGCGTCCACGAGAGCTCTTAGAGTCAGAACGGCTGCGAGAGCGAGAGCGGCTGCGACTGTACGAGCGTGACCGCCTTCGGGAACGGGAACGAGACCTGGATCGACGACGTGAACGAGACCGTGAACGCGAGTTGCTAAAAGAATAACCATCACACAAAGATATGAATACATTCTCTAATCAAGCCAGTGACGCAAGCGCCCCTCCTGGTGTGATAAATGCACCCGCAGACATTGGAGTTACACAATTGCAACATGTACCACCTCAGTCAATGCGAGCTAAACAATCAAAATTAGTGAGAAAAATAAGTGTTTTTACTAGCTGACCAATGTACAAGTAAAAAGAATTAATAAGAAACAAAAAACAAAAAAATGAATTTCCAGACACAAGTTCCTTACAAATTATACTTCCTTCATGCTAGACATACAATTCATAAAATGCAATAAAGGAATAAATCATGCTTTTAATTCAAATGAAAATAGTAAAAAATATTGTATTCAAACAACAATTTCAATATATACATATAAATTTATATTTTAATTCTTAAGAAACCTTATATCAATTACTTCAATATTTCAAATCACATGCTGTTTGAAAGCTGTCCTATATTTCAAATTATACCTCAGGCCTTAGAGCAAATTCAAAGTGTAATAAGAAAGAAGGGCTTTATTACTAGCCTTATTTAGTTAATTTGCATATTACAGCAACTAAGGTACCTAACTATTATGTTCAAGTGCAAACCATTAAAAACAGATTATGCTAATCTTCTAAATTTATTATAGGTTTATGGCAAATTGTGTTCGACATGTGGTATTTTATGAATGCATTGGAATTTGTTTAAACTGTCAAATACCAAGCGGTCACCGGTGACCGCAACCTATTGTTCTATAATTGTGTCTGCAAAACCGGTACTCGACGAGTTAAGCATTGTTTTAAGAAAATGTAAGTTGTGGTAATTTTGGGAAACACAATCTTAATATTGTAAATAATATACCATGCTATTTTTTTTTTTCTATTTTGAACCAGTGGAAAATTTAATTAACAAGAGATTCAGCTGTTTCTCAATACTTTCTTAATATTGGGTGGAGGGTTGGAATAATCTTTCTCAAAATTCAGTGTCTATAGTGTAACTTGAACATATTGGAATTCTACATGTTTTGAGAATGTTATGTGAGAAATAAGTAGTATTGATGAGTAATACAGGGAAAACACAAATAGACTTAAGAGTCTAAGAGATAAAATGAACACCTAGATATGAAACAAATATAGCAATAAGGAAGTTCTATGGTCAGCTAGCAAGGAAGATAGTGTGTTAACTATTATACGCTACCTGCGACGACGGTCGTAGCGGCTCCGGTACGGAGAAGAGGGACGTCCATAGCGAGCCATTTGAACACGGAGCTCCCTGCCATCAAGCATTCGTCCATCAAGCGAGTCCAAAGCTTCTTCAGCATCACGACGATCGTAGAATCTATGAGATAATAAATAATATTGAAAACTATAAAACCCATACATAATAAGTTATTATTAATAACATTTCCAAGGTCTTAGATTAATTTTAAATGTTTGGTATGTAAGTTTCCCCCCATACCATACCATGCTGATGCGACTTGTACAGGGCATGGTATTTTACCGGTAACAGCCTATGACGTCACTAATATGAATATGTACAAATACATACAACATATACTACATTTATGGAAAGTAATTACCTGACGAAAGCAAATCCTCTACTTTCTCTGGTGTACCGATCTCTGGGTATGTAGATATCACCGACTTCACCACATCTTTCGAACACACGCCGCAGATCTTCAGGCGTTGTGCGGTACGTAAGATTGTCCACTTTCAACGACACCATGCCGTCGATACGCGGCGGCGGCCTTCCGTAACTCATCTTGATTTATATTTATAAAAACTTCACCACCTTACACAAATTTAATGTATTTTCACAATCCACCTCAACAAGCAAGCAAATAGAATGGCGTCACGAAACTAAATGAACGACCGTAGCGTGCAAGCGCAAAATTAAATATGGCTACCGGAAAATGAAACTTGACGACGAGAAACGAATGCAAGCGGATGTGGTCAATGTTGCCATTATTAAAAATGTATTATGTAACAATTTTTAAAATAAAATCAAATAATTTTGGGTTAAATTGGTAAATAATTAGGTACTCCAGTAAAATAAAAAGTGAACAAAAAGTACAAAAAATAATTGGTTTGGTGTAAAAATTCAGTCCTTTTTATGTTAAGCTAAGGTTCTTTGATTGCATTTTGATTGTATCAACGCGGTTGCTATGGTGTAGATATTATATAGTATTACGTCAAAAATCTATTGTAGTAAAATATTACTAAAATTATTAATACGTCGTTGTTTTGGATTCTTACAAAACTCCATAGTTAATCAACATCTAAATAAGTATAATGGCTGGTATAAAACAAGTTAGAAATAAAACTCTTGTTCCTGATTTAAGGAAAGAGGGTGAACTTACCAAAGATATTTTGCTCTCAACCCAAAATAAACACGTTGGATCAGCAGGCTCCAGACTTTTTTCGCATCATACACTTGCTAGTGTTAGGCGATTAAGTTTTTATCATCCTTTCTTGTATGTATATTAAAATCTACTTTAATGCTTAATTTAGATTGAGTGTAACATATTTATCTGATTTACTTAAATTTCTTTTAGTTTACCAAAAGATAGTTTGGATTTCGTATTGGCCACAACCTACAATCATTCTACAGAGAGGTTTCCAGATAAAGAGGATTTGTACTTACAACCTGAAACTATTGGCTGTGACACTTGGCGGCGACTGCGGAATACTTTCGATAAACTTCCACCAGTCATAATACCCTTGGTATGGATAAATTTCGGAATTGATTTATTTTAAAATTACGTTCTAATTCAATAATTTACATTTCTATCTACTCTAATTACAGGGACACCCAATGAAACGGGGTGGCATAAAAGAACGTCGATCTCCATTTAGTGTCAAGCTCATGAATTCAGGAGTACATTCATCTCAGACTAACCCTGGTTACAGCCGGCAACCGGCGGGTGGTGCCATATTCTTTTATTAGGCTTTACCTATTCTTCAAAATCGCTAGTATTTATTTTTCATATTAAAATGTAAAACAAACAAAAATTCCGTAGTACTCGGGCTTCGATGGTTACATAACAACGTAAAAGTTTACAACAAAAAGATTACTTGTGGCATTTTGCACTGACTTTGGGTTTCAAAATAGCTGTAACAAGCACTATAATCAGTCAGATGAATAGATGATAATACTTGTCACGCATACTATGAAGTATGAACCTAGAATAGTGTCATAAATTAATCATAAAGTTCTATTTCATTGCGCGAAGCTAAGTGCAGTTTCGGTAGCATAAGACCTACACGAGTAGTTTATTACAAACTAATCCACTGAAAGGAATAAAGAACAAAATTTTTCACCATTGCGGTAATTTGGGCGTTCCGTAGGTACCTACTTATCATGGAGCGTCATTATGGGTCTACATTTTGGATTCCTACAATGACGAAATATAAATCGTGTAGGTAGATATAATAAAGGAATGTAAAAATAATGTCCATTATTTCCATATCGGTGACTATTCGTTAATGTTATTAAAACATAAATAGTATAGTATAGCTTTTCGTAACAGTATTGCCATTTCAAAATCGATAGTCGTTGGGATTAATAATATAACCTGTGGTACTGATCTTCGGCGCGCGGCAATTTTAAAAATGGAGCAACTAAAGATTTAAATTGTTTTACTTTTAGGTTGTAGAGTGTTGTTGTTAGTGAGCAAAGTAATATTGTTAGTGAGTCTTTTAATCCATGTACGTAATTAAAATAAGTATCGTGTCTTTATTGGACTACTCGTAAATATTAAATAGATATTTATTGTTCCTTTTCTACTAATTATTGTGATTATATTATTAGATCATAGTGTTTTTTATAAATGCAAATAAGGGCCATTAGTTTGCACGAGCACGCATTTTCATTTAGTTTATTTAGGTCTACAATGTGGATTTGTGTTTGTCTTCGTTTTTTTTTATTGTAAATACTCGTGTGGTATATTACTAAATACATTTTGCTGTTGTTTACTGTCTCGTGTTTTTATCATTAACTTTATAATAACAATCATAACTTGTTATAAAGAGCTGTCTACTTAGGTAAGTACCGTCCTACTTTGTTCTTTCATTACCTATTTGATTAATTGATAGTAAACTTAAATGTTAAATCTTCATTAAGAATGGGGAATAAAACAAAGTCCTCGAATTTACTCCCACCACGACAAATTCTCGCTATGGATCGTGCCGAGTAGGCGAGTATAGATACGTGGACGTATTATGCAATACAGAATCAACCCACACAATAACAGTTTTGAGTCAAAGCCGTTTTTGTCTAGTAGGTATACAATAAAATTGTTAGTAATTTTTAATAAAATTGATGTACAATATTGTACCAAATAGTTTGTTCTGTGTAGACAAACCTAATATTGATGACAATATTTAACATACCTATTTAATAACAATATTTGAAGAATTCCAGTCAAATAAGTTCGATGGTTTAAGCGGTAGAGTCCCGTAATTTTAACGCATAGTTCATATGTCCAGTCCCATGGGATTTCCGGGATAAAACAATCATACGTCATTTCCAGTGACAGTGTTTCAAATACACATAATTATATAGGTTCAGTGGTTTAAAAAATAGAGTTAAATTTTAAGATACAATTCCCGTCCCCAAGGAATTTCGGAGATAGAACAATCATACGTCCTTTCTAGTGGCAGTGTTTCAAACTATCGTTGAAGCGAATTTCAATCAAATGGGTTCAGTGGTTTAAAAGATATAGTCTTGGGATTTTAAGGTATAGTTCCCGTTCCCGTGAAATGACAATGACCAAATTTGTATGGAGCGTGGTGCCTTTTCATTTTTTCGCGGCAGTAGATCGGATGTGGAAAAACTGATGCAGAATAACATTACAAACAAAAAAATATATAGGACCTTATATCAAAAAAACAGTTCAAATCGAGTTAAATCAGTTTAAAGATGTGAAAATAGTGCTATATTATCCCTGTCATTTTGTTGATGGTGACCGTACACAACGCATATTTCTTCATTTACTCGTCAGAAATATTTTGTAATTAATGTTCATAAATGATTTCAAGGAATTAAAGCTTATTGTGGAGATTTTTAATTTTTTTTTTTTTTTTATAAGGCCACTGAATCAGAACAGAGTGAACCATTAACTGACCACTGCTGAAGAAAAAGAAACATTTCGTTTGATTGGCTAGCGTGTTCAATTTATATGTATACGGTTTATGGCCTATGACAGATTTTCATGATCAATTTCCTCTTAGTCAAAAACCCGCAAAATACTTTACTGAGCCCTATCATGAAATGCTATGTTTGTCAGCTGCGGCGTCGGTAGCGGATTGAATAGCGCTGATCACTTTAAAAGTCGACGGTTTTCTTTCTTCAAAAGATTATGCTAACTATTAAGTAGATGAGTGTCCCACCAGGAGTCAATGGCAAAAAAAAA